TCAAAACAGATCCAGATCCAACAAGAAGGCCCACCAAACTCGCCCAGTTGCGATTGAGCATCTCGAAAGACTGCCCGGACAACTGATAATGTGTGGGAACTGGAGGGGAATTTTGTTCGTGGAGTAAGAAACTCTGGTCAAAACAGATCCAGATCCAACAAGAAGGCCCACCAANCAACTGATAATGTGTGGGAACTGGAGGGGAATTTTGTTCGTGGAGTAAGAAACTCTGGTCAAAACAGATCCAGATCCAACAAGAAGGCCCACCAACCGGGATCTCCAAGAGTTTCATGAAGCGCGAAGTTCTTACGACGAGGACCTTGTGGTCACTGTCCCCCACATTTGTTCATGCAGCACGAAACTCTGCGCCGAACGGACCCAAACCCCGCATCAATTGCCCCTTAGAGTGTTTTTGGTAATTCGCAAAGACAACGAACGACTGTTTGGCACTTCTTGTAGGTGGTCGGGCGACAACCACATCGAGACCGAAGCTATTCTGCGCACGGGTGTCTGAGCCAGTGTTGCAACGAGATTTTGTGAAGTTCGGATGCTGGCGGACTTAGATTGTGGGCATGTCGCACTGGAATCGCTAGGTGGCCCTGTTCGTAGCTCACGCTGCCAGGCACAGAAACCGAAGTCGAAATCCGCCGTCGTTGGAGCATAGTGGTCGAAGTCGAAATCCGCCGTTGTCAGAGCATAGTGGCCGAGCTCGCGACATGGACACGCCCCGCCATGACAAGGGGTTTGTCGGCTGGGCGGTCCGGTGGCCTCCGCTCAATCTGCGAAGTTCGGATGTCGGCGGACTGCAATTGGTTTCGAAGCTTCTGGGCGTTGTGCAAAGTGCGAATGCAGCAGGACTGCACGTCACCTAACGGCGATGCTCGTTGTGCAATGATTAACATGCGGGGGTGCGCCGCACACAAGGCTATTCGATGTCAGGATTCGGGCGGACTTCGTCATTTGGAAGGACTCTGGCGATTTCGTATTGACAGGGACAACTAACCTCACGACCCTTCGGTAGTTTTTTAAATCCACGGGGCACCGGGAATACCACAATCAGATCAAAGGACAGGTGAAAACGCGAAGTTCGCCAGAATCCGAACTTAAGGAGGGTGCGAGAGAGAGAGATCGAGAGAGAGAGACGGAATCCGTACCTGTGTGGTTGTTAAACCCCGCGAGGCGGCAGGAAGACTACAGTCACAGCAGAGGTCAGATGAAAATGCGAAGACCGTCGGCATTCGAACTTCTTCTGCTGTCGGTTTTTGCGATATGTGAAGAGCGGTAGTAGATGCAGCCAACGTCTGGAGGTCGGATTCGGCCAAGCATATACGATCAACCCATTTCGGCAAAACGTCAAGCTCGGATCTGGGCGAACTTGGGTTGCTGTTTGAATACACAGGGCACCTGGAAGGCCACAGTCAGATCAAATGATAGGTGGGAACGCGAAGTTCGTCGGGATCCGAACTTCACGAGGGTGCGAGAGAGAGAGAGACACAAAATTCGTGCTTGTGTTGATGTTCAAATCCACGAGGCACCAGGTAGACCACAGTCGGATCAAAAGCCAGGTGAAAATACAAAGTGCGCCCGGATCCGAACTTAAGGAGGGTGCGCGAGAGAGAGATAGAGAGAGAGACGGAACCCATGCTTGTGTGGTTGTTAAAATCCAAAAGGCACCAGGAGGACCACATTCACATCGGAGGTCGGACGAAAATGCGAAGTCCGCCGGCATCCGAACTTCAACTGGTGTCCAGTTCCACGATATGTGAAGTTCGGCAGCAGATGCAGCCAACGTTTGGAGGTCGGATTCGGCCAAGCATATTCTGTCAACCCGTTTCGGCAAAACGTCAAGATCGGATGTGGGCGAACTTCAGTTGTTGTTTGAATCCATGGGGCACTTGGAAGGCCACGGCCAGATCAAATGATAGGTGGGAACGCGAAGTTCACCGGGATCCGAACTGCACGAGGATGCGAGAGAGAGAGAGAGACAACATGCTTGTGTTGCTGTTCAAATCCATGAGGCACCAGGAAGACCATAGTCGGATCAAAAGCCAGGCGAAAACGCGAAGTGTGCCTAGATCCGAACTTAAGGAGGGTGCGCGAGAGAGAGATAAAGTGAGAGATACGGGACCCGTGCTTGTGTGGTTGTTAAAATCCAGGAGGCACTAAGGGGACCACATTCACATCGGAGGTCGAACGAAAATGTGAAGTCCGCCGGCATCCGGACTTCAACTGGTGTCCAGTTCCACGATATGTAAAGTTCGGTAGCAGATGCAGCCAACATTTGGAGGTCGGATTCGGCCAAGTATATTCGGTCACTCCGTTTCGGCAAAACGTCAAGTTCGGGTGTGGACGAACTTGGGTTGCTGTTTGAATCGGCGGGGCACCTGGAAGGCCGCGGGCAGATCAAATGATAGGTGGAAACGCGAAGTTTGTCGAGATCGAAACCTGAGAAAAGTCGGTCCGTGGGAGCCTGAACTTCACGAGGGTGCGGGAGAGAGAGAGACATGATCCGTGCTTGTGTTGCTGTTCAAATCTACGAGGCACCAGAAAGACCACAGTCGGATCAAAAGCCAGGTGAAAACGCGAACTGGGCCGGATCCGAACTTAAGGAAGGTGCGTGAGAGAGAGATTGAGAGAGAGAGATGGCACCCGTGCTTGTGTGGTTGTTAAAATCCAGGGGGCACCAGGAGGACCACATTCACATCGCAGGTCGGACGAAAATGCGAAGTCCGCAGGCATCCGAACTTCAACTGGTGTCCAGTTCCACGATATGTGAAGTTCGGCAGCAAATGCAGCCAATGTTTAGAGGTCGGATTCGGTCGAGCATATTCGGTCACTCCGTTTCGGCAAAACGTCAAGTTCGGATGTGGGCGAACTTTGGTACTGTTTGAATCCATGGGGCACCTGGAAGGCCACACGGCCAGATCAAATGATAGGTGGAAACGCGAAGTTCGTCGGGACCCGAACTTCACGAGGGTGTGGGAGGGAGAGAGACATGATTCGTACTTGTGTTGCTGTTCAAATCCACGAGGCGCCAGGAACACCATAATGGTACCAGAGGTCAGATGAAAATGCGAAGTTCGCCAGCATCCGAACTTCTGCTACTCTCCTGTTTCGCGATATGTGAAGTTTGACAGCAGATTTGACCAGCGTTTGAAGGTCGGATTCGGACGAACTTATTCGGCTGCCCCGTTTGGAAAATTCGTGAAGTTCGGATGCGGGCGAACTTGAGTTGTTGTTCAAAACCCCGGGCCAGCAGAAACACCACAGCCGCATTAAAGAATAAGTGAAAATGCGAAGTCCGCCGGGATCCGAACTTCACGGGCATGTCGGACCGGGAGATATGACAAATATAGAGAGAAAAATGGAGAGAGAGATAAAGGAACAACCATTTCGTCAAAACGGACATATTATATTTTTTGAATGAAATCAAAACTGACTTTTTTTACCAAAATCCGGTCGAAATTTTTTGCTCCTCGGGGTCCGGCGTTTTGGGAACGCCGGACCCCCTACATGTATCTGGTATATT